CGCTGTCTCTGATAATCATATTTTATCGTCGTTTCATGCGGTTGTTAGCCATATATGTACGTAACGTAAATAATAAAATTATCATATATACTATTTGTGTCGGTCCAGTGAAAGAGCCAAGCTCGAGAAATCACATTGTGAGATTAAGAACCCGAAGATACGTCTGGCAAGAACGGCGCGGGTGTCCTACAATCCTTTTAAGCTTATTACAAGACCGTAACAGGTTTATAGTATCATCGAGCGAACGTAATGAAGTTCGGTGGATTTACGACGGGCAGTTAAAGTAAATTTAGATAGCGAGTAAAGTAAATTCCATTGTATCTCTCGCGCGCGACCTGTGTCTTTCGTCGCGAAATATTTCGATTCGCGAATGTTTGCGCCGTGAAACTCGAATTTTTCATTCGATCTCGTAATTTCATTTTTCGAATAAAAAAATTCAATATCATTCCGATAGTAAATTCAATCATACGCGAGATCAAAAAACTGATTGATTTAAGATATAGAAGAGTAATTAAATTTATACATATAATACGTTTTTGCATTTAAACAGTTCGTGTATTACGTATACAAAATCGGAAATGTGCGTGTAAGAAATATAGATAAAGTTATTTTTAAAATGTGATCTATCAATAAAAAAATTGTTTTTATTTGAAATCAATGCTTATCACAAACACTTGCAGATTAAACATTTTGCATCACTTTATGTAACGTCTTTTTACTTTGCGCACAGAAGAGATTAATCGCGTTGCAAAAAAAAAAAAAAATTAAGTAAATAGATCAAATCAAAAGCGATTCCACGAAAAATCGAATTAGTCGTCAATATATTTATCTATTTGATTTTTCCGCGCATTGTATACGTCGATAGATGAAATTTCTTTGACAGATCGCACGTAAAGAGAAAATTCATATGAACAATCAGTGAACATTTCTTTCGTCTCATATATCTCCATATTTTCGTGCGTAAAACATTTCGATAAACGGATGAATTCTTAAACATTTATCATTTATTGTACTGATGTAATATCAGTATTATCTACATAATATAGGATTGATACTTTTATAATAATAAATATATATTTACGATTGACTAATTTTCGTGGTTTTTTTTATAAGAGAATTAATTTACAAACGATTACTACATAATTATTCCACGTCAGCGTATGTAATAAAAATGATGTAAAAGAAGAACATATGAGAAAATTTCGGATTTCTTGATGCATACGATTGCATTCACTTTAATGATTTTTAAATATAACGTAGTATTAAAATCAAATATATTGTTCGTATGTTGAGTGTTTTATCATCAAAAGGTTTTTCGAAGAATATGTTAATGACGCTTTTTTAGAAAATAACATTTAATATACGTTTATTCGTCGAACGTTTCAAAACGTAACGCAGAGATGTTTACGGAATATAAATCTCCTTCATTCGTTTCTTTAACTTGTTCCGCAGACTTCTCTCATCTTCGCGTGCTATTGTTTACACACAAAACAACTGCCAAGTTCATCGCGTGTTTATACTTGTTTCAAAGAAATATTGAGCATTACAGCGACTACTTATTCTCGAATCATATCTCATTTTCTGTCATTTTCGTAATAAATTTACAGAATATGTAGAGTAATGTTTTTCTCTCTATTCTCTCTCTTTCGACAAACGAGTAAAAAAGAATATCATTTAGATATAAAGAAAGATCATTTCTTATTTAGATCTGTATTTCTTCTTAAGAGTCTTAATTCCAGTTATGTGTCTATAAAGTCGAAACAATTTTAAAAAAAGTTTCGTGCATTTGTGTAAAAGGAGAGAATTTTCTCTTAGAATTTACTCTAAAAATCATAGTACTCTAAGACAATATAATGTTGAAAGAATGTTATAAGAGTTTCTCTAATTAATATTTACCACAATAAAAGATATTAATATCACATCAAGATATAAATATGTTCGATTAATTTTACTATGTACGTGGTAAAATTTATTATGTATATATCAATATTTTTATTGTGGTAAATATTAGTCAGAAAAACTCTTATAAAATTCTTCCAATATCATATTGCCCTACGATTACCATGATTGTCAGAGTAAATTCTAATTGTAAGAGAAAATTTTCTCCGTGTACATATTTTTGAGTCGCGAAATAGAATCATTTGTTAAAAAGATTACGAATAGCTTTCATTGTACGTATTTTGCACATATTTTTTACTTAAAAAATATTAATATCCATCGCAATAAATGTTCGATTAATTTTACTATATGTACGTAATATATTTTATTGTGGTAAATATTAATCAGAGAAAAACTCATAAGATTCTTCCAATACCATATCTCATACGATTACCATTTTCAAGGTAAATTCTAATAGAAAATTCCGTCCGTGTACAAATGACCCTTCTCTTCCATATAGAAATTAGAAATGTATCCTCGCGAACGAGTCGCGCGTTGGTCCGAATCGGACTTACAATTCCGGTGGAGAGTCCCTGCCACGAATAGACGACAAATCAAGAGAAATTCCGACGATCCCACTCGCAGGCTGGCCGATTCCGGCTTTATACGGCTCGGCGGAGCCGAGTCGCTTCTCGTGTCTCCCGCTCTTCGTATCTTCTTGGCGTAGCATGAAAATAGCCCGGCGTACTTGGAATATCGCGTAGCCTACGCGCTAAGCATGCTAAAACGGCGTCGACCAACAGACTCGCGTACGTTGCGAGAGAGAGAGAGAGAGAGTACGAGCGATTACACAAACGATGCTACCAGAAAGTACCGATAACTATATTCGAAAGTACCGATAGCCATTTCGCAGGGAAGGAGAATGCCGATATATATACAATACTCGCCTATTTAAATGCGATATTGATATTTTTCCAGTCCAGTGTCGATAAAAAAAAAAAGAAAGATTTCACATTTTCCTATTCAATGATCTGTGATATTCTGATATTTTTTATAAGCATATTTAGGTAATTCTATTAAGCAATGTAACTTCTTATTTTAATCCATTTCTATAATTAAATATTAATATATTTAGAGTAGAGAGAAAGAATGTTTGATCTGTTATTTTATTGATAGATTATTTTTATACAGGGTGTCCGGTAACTAACGGACCAACGATTACAAATGGATTCTTTGGTCAATTTGGGAACGATTTTTCCTCAGCGAAAATGTCGAAAAAGGTCATCATTTTTTACAACTTTCCAATATTTGTCATTATGTATCTTTATAACTAAGCCTCAAATTAAAATTTTATTATATAGTAAACTCTACCTGAAATTAACTGAAATAACTCGAAAATTATTGACTTCTCAACATTTTTGCCAAGAAAAAATCGTCTCCAAATTGGCCAGAGAATCCGCCCTTAATCATTGGTCCGTTAGTTACCGGACACCCTGTATATCTAAAAAAAATTGCTTTTCCAATCCTTTTCTCTGCGTCATATGGTTTTGTTTTCGAATCGCTCTGCAACTTTGTCGTATCTCTACCTTTCGAAGTTCACATGTACTTGTTTGACCAGAGATAGTCAGTGATTACTGCAGGAATTCGCGGTTAATTATAACTTGCGAGTTATTTACGATTTTGATATTCCTTGGTATTAATTCGTTGCGATATACAATAATGAATGCTTCGAGAAATTATTCTTTTCAATTAAACTTTTATCGAGTGAAACTTTACCAGTCTTCGTCAAAGAGTCTCTGTAATTATAGAAATATAATAAATGCAAAATTGTAAAACGATTCTCGTTACTTCTCTATCAATTTATTAACAGGAATTAATTCATTTGTAAAGAGAAATAATTAAATATATATAATATATTTTATTAAATATATAATATATTTTTTTTACTTAAAAAAAACTTGCTAATAATAGCATAGCGAGATGAACTTTAAATTTTCAGATAGCTATTCTGACAGCTTTGCAATAGCTATATATGTTTTCATGATAGCTATCTGAAAATTTAAAGCAATTTTTCTTTTAAGTTTTTTTTTTATTTTTTTTTAATTCTCTCTTTATATATAATTAAATATATATAATATATATTAATTATATATAAAGAGAAAAAAAAAAAATTGCAAAGCTGTCAGAAAACATGATAGCTATCTGAAAATTTAAAGTTCATCTCGCTATGCTATTATTAGCAAGTTTTTTTTAAGTAAAAAAAAAAATCTCGTTTTTATAGATCGAGCGAAAATACACATCTCTCGCGTGTCGTCGTTTCAGTGAGTTAAAAATAAAGCATGGTCGCGCAAGAGCTTGTAAATAGTAGCCAAGATTGAATTGGACTTTCAAGGATAGAAACGCGTTAGTCAGCAATGATAATGTCAAACGATTGCTCTGTCATTATCTCCTTCTCTCCCTTTTTTTTTTTTTTCGTTCCATCGGAAAACTCAGCATGATAAAACGTTTCTCGAGCGAAAACATCGCGTACATTTACAGCCACGTACGTCACACGCGATGTTTACAACCGAAGGCCGAAATTACTATCGCGTACTCGCGATGCTCGCACGCGGTCCGGTTTGTAAAAAGGAAGAGGACGATATATACATATAGAGGGGGCCGAGAATATAGGGGCGTCGCTGACACGTAGGAATCGACAGAACGTCCGCAGCATCCCTCGTAAATTTTTACAGCGCCGTTCACAATGTACAAAACTGGTCACCGAAGAATCCAATCCCTCTTCTTCTCTCTCTCATTCACATTCTCGCTCGGCTTTCCGAGTATCACGAAAACACGTCGAGATCGCAGGGAAAGAAGGGAGCGACCGAAAAAGGAGAACGAATGGCGAGTTCTCTCAAGAGAGAGGACGAGAAGTGGCGAACTTGAAGAGAGACGGGATCTGCTACAATGCGCGAGAGAGAGAGAGATACAGAAGCCCTGTTGTCGCGTCATATCTCGCGAGAGTATACGGGGTCAGAGGAAAAGAGGGACAAACATACCGCGAGAGTGGGAAGAGCGGCTGCTCGGAGGCTGCGGAAAAGATGAGGAGGAGAATCGCGCAGGGAGAGAGACTCATGGTTCACCTGTCGTCATGGCAACGCCGCTTCGCCGCTCACTTGTTACTCCATCGGCATAGCTCGGCGGCGGTCCTCTCGCAGCCTCCGCAGGAATACGAACGCGAGTCACGATCCATCGCGTGGGACAGAGAGCGAGACGACGACGACGACGACGACGACGCCTCCTCCTCGAGAATCGCCGCGAATTCTTCTCCTTTTCGGCCGGAAAAAATCGAGAGACACGATGATATCCTCTCCCGCGGTTCACCACCACAATACGCACCGCAGAGATTCTCACACATACAGACACGCACTTCACCGAGATGTATATATATTTTTTTTTTAATTTCAAAATTTATTTATGCATACAGATTTTTCTACCTCTCGTTCTCTTTCACCCGCGCAAAGAAACGTATCACAGACACCCTCTCCGATTCGTTTCACTCGCTTGTCCTCCGCTTGTCACCCGCCGCGCACTTAAACCGAAGTCACTCTTCTATTTTAAGCTTCGCACTTGCCTCGTCCGCGTCGTATCCTCTATCTCTCCCTCCTGGCGCACCAGTCGTATGTGTGTTTATACGGAGCGATATTCGCACACTCACCCACGTACGGACGATGCACAGACGAGAGAAGAGGGAGAGAGAAGAGAGAGACACACAGCGCTGCTTCTTCTTCTTCTTCTTCTTCTTCTCGTTATCCACTTACTACGAGCGCGACAATCTGTTTGCTATGCAAATCGACCGGTGCTGACGTAGACCGGCGCGGATGACAGCTCCGAATCGACGTTAGTCATTGCCCGTCGACATACGTATATAGAAAAGTGTGTAATCGCTGCCGCCGCGATTCCACGGGAGATCTCCTTATCCCCACCGCGAGTGCCAGCAAACTGCACTCGCGCGCACACACACACACGCGCGCGCGCGCACACTGTCACACCGCGACTACCGCGTGGTCACCACTACCATCGCGCGCCGCGACTATTATCATCGTCGGCGATCTCTCTTTCTCTCTCGGTTTATAACGTCGTGTCGTGTCGGTGCGTAAACGCACCGCGGCGCGAAACTCCGACCGCGAATTCCCCCGGCGGCGGCCTCACTCGTCCGGTGACGTCATTGGCGCCTAAACGCGTCGTCGAGGGGAGGGAGAGAGTCTCTCTCTCTCTCTCTCTCCTCCGGTTGATCTATCGACACGATGATGCGGCGACCTCGTTACCGCTGATCTTTTATATATATATGTATCGGCGAAATACGGAGTCTCTTGTTATTCGAGCGGCTCGTTTGACGTTTGATCGCTCTTCCTCAACCGATGATCCATTCATCGATCCGATCCGGGGTGAGCGAGAGTTCCGGTTTAAGATTCCGTCGTAGGTGACATCGGCGGATCCTTTCCTCGATTTCTTTTCTTTTCGGAAGATTTTCCGATTGTTTTCGACGAGAAGTGACGTTTCTCCGCTTCCGATCGCGATCGAAATTTTTGGCGCAACCTTTCTCCGCGCGATTTCAGGTCACTCCCGGCGCATGTGTCCTCGATTGTTCGAAACGACGATTTCGAAAAGTCCGGTACGCGATTTTTCCTCCGCTTTTCTTCCACCTCACATCAACAAGTGAGTATCCGCCACATATACGCGCACCATAATAATCCTCACGTCCACGGATCGTGTCGCGTTGCGGTGTCGTAGCCGCGCGACGCTACACACCTCCTCACGGCGTTGTTATTGTTGCGTAACTGGCGGGCCCCGTGTTGCTGGCTGGCTCTCCGGCCGTGCCACGAGACAGAGCGTATGGAGTAGTGGCCGGGGCGGAGAGCGGCGCGGGAAGAGAGGGGAGGATCGGAGTGGGAAGGAAAGGGTAGGGAGGGAGGGAGTGAGGTAGCCCCTGTGGGTGAGCCAGTGGGCGATACGCAATGAGGGAGAGAGAGAGAGCGTGCGAGCGGTGCGCCGTCTGGCGTGGCTGGCGACAGTCTACTGCCTTCGGAGAACCACGAGGCGATTCCGTGTATCGAACGCGCACCGAGGGACGTCGACGATGGAGATGAGAGAGCGGAAGGAGAGAGAGAGAGAGAGAGTGAGTGAGTGAGTGAGGGGCAGCGAGATCGGCGCGCGCGATTCTGGGAGGGAGAGAGCGTGAGGGACAAAGAGACGACGCGAGAGAGCGAGGAACATATGAGAAAGCCCCGAGAACGAGAGAGGGAGAACTCCGTAGCGGGGAACTCACAGACGCGAGAGCTCTCCTCAGGGACGCAGATATGTTCCGAGCGCACTCTCTTACGTTGCGTGCACATCGCAGAAAGAGACGGAGAGAATCGCTATACGTCATTGGAAGACGATAATGAGGGTTTTAACCGTGGCCTTGCTATCGTTTCACTGCACTTCATTTTCTCTTACAATTTACTCCGAAAATCATGATAATTATGTGGGGCAATGTATGACATTTGGAGGATTTTTTATAAGAGTTTCTCTGATTAATATTTGCCATGAGAAGAATATTAACATGTCTACCACATTAAGGTATCAAATATGTCCGATTTATTTTACTATATATTAAAATTACTTCATTTTTTAAGGGTTTTAACACCGTGGCCTTGCCATCGTTTCACTACGCTGAATTTTCTCTTAGAATTTACTCCGAAAATCATGGTGATCATGGAACGATGTGATATTCGGAGGATTTTCTAAGAGAATTCTTTTAATATCGTACTATATTGTCGCACGATTTTCACTATGTCCTCACTGGAGCAACAACGAGCAACTTTACGCAGCTTACGAAACTTTCAGCAACAATTAACTAGCAACTTTTTTAAGAAACATGGAGCATCGACAAGAAGTTATACTCCTCCTTGTTGCCCTAGTGAAGACGCAGTTCTACGTTGCTCATTGGAGCAACAACGAAAAACGTTTTTCGAAATTATGGAACAACAACAAAAAGTTGCTCGTATTGTTGTTCCGGTGAGGACATATAACTTCGTTGTATTTCTTTCTTCCTTCTGTTGTCGTTCATCGCGGTAGAAGACCCAGGGTCGAAGACGATCAACAGCGCTTGAATGAGCAATAACAGCCCTCTGTAACGCGCAAGTCGCTAATCGAAATCGATTCTTCTTCGGATAGTCAGTTAGTCAGACGTGTTTCGTTAAATTGGGGTTGCGCCGTTCCGTTGTGTCAGGAACCAAAATAAATCGATTGCAATCGCCCCTATCTCTCTGATTCCTAATTCGTCTTTCTTTATTTATCTCCATCCAGGAACTGCGAATATATAAAAAAAATATGTTTGTAAAATACCTCCCTTCGAAATTCTTTATTCAAACATCGAGATTGGCAATCGCGGTCGATTTCCAATTTTAATCATCGCCAGATCCCCCATAATTAACATCGTCGACGGATTAGAGATATTTTTCGACCGTTTGAGCGAATGACACCCAAATAAAACGGTAAAAATAAAAAAATAAATAAGGATCTTGGATGGTAATTTGACTATTCCCAATCATTAACAAGTCGAGAACACCGAGACGAGATATCCTTTCCGTCTCTCTCCTTGCCATCGCGTCACCTCGATTATGTTTCACCGGAGACTTACCGGGAAGGGATCCTACTGTTATCTGCCAGGTACTTGCAATCCTCTCTTTCTCTGGCGTCTGCCAGTCCCGGAAGGACGGTTGGCCTTCAGGGAATTGACCTCAGGGATTTTCTAAATCTTTGTTCGAAGAAGAACGAAAGGATGAATGGAAACCATTAATATCAGAAATAATTTCTGGAAATTACTCTTTTCGAAGAACTACTCTTTTTGTATTTTGACACTCTACTTTTTGACCTTTTTTAATTTCTCACACCATAGGAAATATTCCAACAGTAAAAATTTTAATGATCTTGCCGTTCTATAGAAATATATGAAACCTTATACAGGTCGCTCTTCGAAAGGAAAAATTTTCTTCTTCATTCACAAATATACATCCAACTTTTCCGGAAAAAAAATTGTATGGAATATAGGAAAATGCACACATACACATGTACTATTAAATAATCTACTTTTTCGCTAAAGTATAACGTATCTATGCGATTATGTCGGTTCTACTCCGTCAGTGCCTAACGGCATTTATGTTATATATATATGTTATAAAATTATTCGGTAGCGTATTATCCGGCGATATCATGTGTGAATTTTCGTTTGACCTCCGTTGCAATTAACGGTTAATATCGTACACGATTCATCATTCAAGGACAATCGGGCGGATAATTAACGATTTCATTGCACGTAGCACGAAAGAGCCTTCGTCACACATTGCGAACGTTGGTCGATCGTATCTGAAACGCAACACCGTCGTTCTCATGCACACGCACATTCGCGATCGTGGGCGATCAACTACGTAATATCGTGTATGCAACAAGTTACTTTCATTAATTGGACGTAGCAAGAAGACAAGCAAGTATCGATATAAAATTAACCCCCGCGTCCGCTTTCACGGTTTTATTGCCGATAATCAAATAGCATATGAGTACTTACAATTAACGGTCGACAAATTGAAATATATGAAAGAACACGTGTACACATATGTATTGTTTATTTTTTATCAAACATACATCGCGATTCGATTTCGATATGATACATCTGCATCGCGATCGGAAATATATACGAACGCGAATGTTGCGAATAATATCGAGGCGGAATAAAAAAAAAATCGCGGATCGGATGAAATTTGGTCAAAAAATGGGCTTGACCCGATTGCATTTGTAGCTCGTTCCAATCGATCCCGCGGTACGCCGCGTCACGGAATGGGTGTGACAGGATAACGAAATGCCGGATATGCAATACAAATACAATCTGTATGAATTTATCGAGCCGTTATGGAGCGTCAATCGGCCCGGGGCTGGTCTTTAGGGTGCAGCGGATTGCACCGATGCAAACGTCCCTTTCGAACGCGGCCGGCCGACGTGATTATTATTGAGCGACAACAAAGGCGCTCTAATTGGCAGCGCAACGCGTGCTCGTTCCGTGGAGGAGGAAGAGGTTGTTATCGCCAGCTCGGTAATTAAGACGAAAGAATACAAATTGCGGCGGTTGTGAGTGCTATATTACACGCGAGTTCGGCACTCGCGGATTGCCTCCCTTTTGATCAAGCATTCCGATGCCGCTTTCTCGCCAGCATTTCGCATTTTCGCGAAAGGCATTTAACGAACTTCATTCATGATATCGCCGATCCGAAAGTATGGCTGTACACAGTCGGAGCATTTATCTGCCCGAGTCTGATGCGTTATGGTTATCGGTGCAATGTTTATTTTATTGCACTGAGAACAAAAATGTTGTTAACTTGAACTAAATCGTTCAACTAATTATTATTTTGGTAGTTGAACATGTATAAGTATTTCAGTCGAAACGTGTTATGTTACGCAGAGAAAATTTTCTCTTAGAGAAAATTCTATTTACCTAATGAAAATACATGGTAATCGTGGGACAATATATAGTATTGAAAGAATTTTATGAGTTTCTTCAATTAATATTTACCAGAATAAAAATTATTAATATTTACCACGAAATATGTTTGATTAATAAAATTTACTATATATACATATTAATATCTTTTGGAGAATTTTAGAGAATTTTTAAGACAAAATTCTCTCCGTGTAGATATAATATGTTGTATTTAATTTAAATACTTCTATATGTTCAATTAACAAAATAGTAATTAATTAAACGATTTAGTTAACAACTTTTTTTCTCAGTGTAGAAATTAATTTTATTAGGAAAAATAGTGAGAGAACAGAGAGATGATAAAATAAAAATAGAAATGAATAAAATTTTAAAAAAGTCCAAAAGAAGTGCAATATTTTTTAAATTGTGTGTGTGTGTGCGTGTGTGTGTAAAAACGGGAAGAAATTGTACATGAGAGAGAATTAATGTATTCATTTTTCGGTGCAAAATGTATTTTGAGATATGAGTGCGCTTTGACATTTATAATCTTTTTTATTGCGTGAAACTGCAGAGATGTTACTTTCCGGAGAGTTTTATTTCATTATATATTTAGCTCGAAAAAGTGAATGCGTTAGAAAATTAAACTTCACGCGCATGACCTATTCCGGGTACATTTTCACACTTTAACGTACGAGCATTTTTTTTTATTCTTTCTTTTCGACCTTTCTATTTACTACACATTTTATTTAGCACACTATAGTGATACTATATAATTCTATAATGCGAAGGACGTATACTCTAACGATCTAATTAAATTTAGCTATATAAAAAGAGAGAAATGTATAAAATTTATTTTTAGAATAGTGACTAGTTCGAATTATATAACACGCGTATACATTATTAAGATAAATTCAAGAAGGATTTTTTGCAAACTTTTAGTTTGTCTCTCTCAGTTTTTTCACGCAATTAATCAGTTGTGTTCGTTCTCTCGCTCTTTCGCTCGCTTGTTTGCTATATACCTACACTCAATTTGTCGTTATCGAGGTATTAAATTGAAATTATTTTGCATCAATTAAGACGGACTTTCTATTATTCATTCCATGAAAAAAAAAAAAAAAAACATTTCAATCACTTATACCACTTACACTATTGATATCTCCATTTTTACTTTCTGTTTAATAATTCCATTTGTTTTCCAAAGAATCTCGCGTGTGTAGCTTTTGATCATCTAAAAAAGATAGAAAATTTTGGATTCCAATCGAGTCACTCGCAGACTATCACAGAGTAACATGCGGGCCGCATATTACGGAGCAATATATATACAGTAGTGAAAGAGAGAAGAAAGGTTCTCTCGATCGTTGTGACTGTCGCCGTACGACGTATGCAAGCCATCACAAATCGACAATGACAAGCAAAGAAGCCGTCCCAGGCAGG